TAGGGGGACAGAATACTGAAGTCGCTTGCAGTGGATTGGGTGTGATGGCAGATGGCAAACCTGAGTCCAGCTGTGGTGGAAATGAAGAGTTCATTTTGCTTTCTCTTTAAAATGTTACAGCTGGAACTGATACTCTGCCTGCTTTAGTTTCCTGGTAATCAGGCTGACCAGTTGTAAAGGCAAGGTGAGTGAATATTGCTTGGCCTCTTGGTAGCCCTCACTTGTGCTTGCCACACGTCTGCAGCATGTTGTACCTCCTGTCCTACAAGTAATACTTGAATAGTGACCTTTTGGTGACACTTCTGCTTTGATACAGGAAATCATGTGGCCTTCAGATAAGAGTAAAAAAGATCTTAACACTTCCAATTTTGTGCTTTATTCTTACACTGAAGTGTGTGGGATCTGATAGTACCCTGGCATTTGAACTTTCTCATTTCTTTGCAGTGTAAGACTCACGAAGCAAGCTTGAGGTATGTGGCAGTGCTTGGGGCCTTGAATGGGAGATAAAGTTTTGGCTAACCTATTAACAGTAGTTTTTGATTAAGATGATGCAGGAATTGGAAACAGAGAAAGAACTGGAGATGCTATTTAATATAAAGTCTGAATGCCAAACTATAAATGCATTTATACACGTTATTTTCCAATGACTCATTGGCATTGTCTGCTTCCCTTCCAGTGCATCACTGGAGACGTACTCTAAACTGCTGCTTTATTTTTTAGTGCTTTTTGACACTTCAGAGTGTCTATTCCAATTACAGTCCTTTCCTCATTGGAAGAGTGGCAAATGAGCATGCTGAGTAAATTACAAGAACTTCCAAAATAGTACAAGTCTGTTATTTGAAGGGGCAGAGGCAGAGGAAATTATACCAACCTATTTATTGTTCTGCAAACTGGAGAAGAATAAAGGAGTTTGCTGTAAAGTACTCTGAAGGTTGAAACTGAAGGGATCTGAGCATGGCCCAGACTCCCTTGTATTGATTTAGCTGTATGTAGGTGCTTGAAATCTGGATAGAGGTGCTGAAGTTCGAATTCAGAATTTTAAAAGAGACGTTTTAGAATTTTAAAATATAAAAGGTATTATCCCATGCCTTTTTGTTTCTGCCAGGTTGGGCTCTCCTTAATTGCCAACATTTAGGTATGTCTTGCACTACCGGATGATGGGTGAGTGTGCAAGTTGAAGTGTTGATGCTTTTTGTTGTTTTTTTTTTAATTTGTGGTGGGAGGATAACTAGGAGCTCAGGGAATACAGACTGTAGGCAAGTTACACAGCCTTTAACTGGTTAGTCTCAGAATGGCACTGGACCTGATAGAGCTGAGGAATGTGCTCTCTTTATCTTCCAGAGATTGGATTTTGAGCTGAAGTTTTAAGCAAAAATCTAGCTCTTTTACAAAAAAATGGTGTTAAAAGAGTTGAAAAGGACAAGCCTTTCACATCTATTGTCGTGGAACTGACTTGTTCTGTTTTACTAGAAACAGAGGTAGACTTACTGACTTCTAGCAGCTGTGTGATAAACAACTTGTAAATAGACCACAGAGTTTCAGGAAATACAAATAAAATATTGGAAGTCACGAACTGACTACCAAAAGCCCTGGAATATTTATATTTATCTGCTGCCTGGGCCGTTATATTCAGGAAACTTCTCTGGAACCACGTAAAGTGAAGTGCCCCAAAAGCCCACCCAGAGCAGCAACTTCTGGAGTCTTGTTTGTTTTGTTTCTGGTGGTAGCGATGGTCTTTTCCCAAAATCTTTGGGCAGCAGGATAGAAATGTTTTATGGGATACCCAAGTTACCAACACACAAGGGGTAGAAGTAGAGTTGCAGTATTTGAGGTGCGTTAATGACACCATGCCAGTGTACTTGGAGACAGAGGAGGCAAACCTGGTCCTGGTACAAACAGAACATTGTGCCATTAAGTAAGTGGATTTGTAGGACAGGAAGTGAACTGCTAAGCAATCCCAAATTTATTTTTTATTTTATTTTGGGAGGGAAGTAAAAATTACAAAAACTTGACAAATGCCATTCAAATAAGGTTATTTTCTTGCATTGTGTAGCAGACAAGGTAGGAACTCAGCCAGGTGCCCATTGTGCTTACTGTGCTCTGCAAATAATCTCTGCTGTAACCAGGATTTATTTTTTGGAATACTAATGCTAATACTATTGAAGATAGGTCAGAGCAGTTGAGTCTATATTTAAGATATTAGAGGTGGTGTGCTGAAAACTCATCCTAATTAGCTGCAGAATGAGGGAGCTGAAACTTGGCTTCATATAGCCAACATAAAAGTAATTACTTGCTGAATTATATATACGTATATATTAACTTTCTGAAATGAGCATACAAAATCCCGAGCCTTATGAAAAAACAGCATTAGACTATTGGTGAATGATTGCCACTTTATTTTGAGTTCAGTTGCACTGCCTTTTTGTGCAATGACAGTTTTTACCCTGTCTGATGGCTCTTACCTTTCAAGTTTTGTAAACCACATTCTTGCACCAACACTTTGTCTCTTGCAGAGTTCCTATGAATGTTCTTCAGCTGTAGTAAAAGGATGAATTTCTCTTCTTTTTAAAAGTAAGTCTTGATGCTGAATATTGACCCACTTGCACAGTAAAATATTAAATGTGTTTTGTAGTAACTTGCAGTAGCACTAGTTGTGAAAATATCATTGACAGTATGGGAGACTCAAACTAATGGCAGTAGCGTATTTAACTGGTGTGAGTAGTCCTGTTGAGGCAAGCAGAAACTATTTAATACTCTGCATTTTGGCAGCTGGGTGACTTGAATGTGTCTAAATTTATATATATAGTCAAGTAAGTTCAGTTGCAGTGAGTGCTATCATTTTTGCTATAGTGACTCCCAGCTCCCATTAGCACATCCCCAAATTGTGGCTGACTGTAACAGTTTCTTCAGGTGCTGCTTCCTTGCAAGAGGCAGAGAAAGGATGGTCTTTGTTTGTGGAAATGTATATAGATACAGCAATCAACTGTCATCCTTTAGTGTCTTTTTTCACAAACTGAAACACAGGAGGCTCTGTCTGAACATCAGGGAGCACTTCTTCACTGTGATGGTGACCGAGCACTTACACAGGTTGCCCAGGAAGGTTATAAAGTCTCCATACTTGAAGATATCTAAAAGCTGTCTGGGTAGAATCATGGGCAGCATGCTCTAGGTGGCCCTTCTTGAGCATGGGGTTGGACCAGATGACCTCTAGAGTTCCCTTCCAACCTCAACCATTCTGTGATTCTGTAATTCTTTTCCTCACTTTATACACAGTAAGCTATTTTACTTTTGCTTCTTTTTCCTATTTCACAGTTTCTTCCATTGCTGCTTATTGTCACATGAGTAATCCTTTCATAAAAAAAGGGGGGGGGGGGAGAAGGGTTACAGAAGGTCAATATTCATCTGAATAAATGTAATGTAAAGCATGTAGCGATCACCTTTGACTTGTGTGTTATTTAGATTGAGTTGAGGCTTAAGTGTTTAAAAAAAAATTGAATCCCATCAGAAGTATGTTCATGATTTAACCTTCATAACTAATAAAGTACAGGATTAAATATGTGTTTAATGCAGAGGAATTATCACTTTCCTGATGACTCTTAATTGCTTACAAGTAGTGGATTTTGCTATTCAGTTATGGCTGGGCCTGAGGAAGCAACTGAAGCTCAGAGATTTCTTTTGCATAAGGCTTTCCCAGTGCAGTGATGTCAATAGGCCGATGAGATATTCCTAGTGTGATGGCAGCTCTTAACCAAGTGCCAGTGAGACTTGCTCCTTTCCCCTTCACCAGGGAAAAGGAGCTGTTCTGAGGGGGAGGAAATCATGGAAGGGCATGACAAACCACACTTTTGTACAGAGGAAAGGACCTTGCCAGGGCAGAAATGTGGATGAGGTGAGGATTTGCTACAGTTGAAGATGAAAGGAGCTGCCAAGTAGTGTCAGATAGGTATGGAGGCTTCAAATAATAAGGAATATCTGCTTGGCTGCACTGACTCCTTTTCAAGGTCACCTGTGTTTAGTCTTCAGGGAGTTGCATCACTGTATCCCCCACACAGCCATTAAGGCAAGAAGCTGATAGTGTAGAGCAAGCCTTGGAGAAAAGGTGCACTTCACACTAGCTGTTAAACTCTTTTAGTCCTTGCCTTGAAGAGCAAATATGCTAGAGAGTGTTTGCTTTGCTGCTGCTTTGTGACATACTGCACTCTCCTGCAGGTATGGCTTGAGGGACCAGGAGGAAGAAGGAAATGTAGATATATCTGGGAAGAGAAGCAAAAAGTGGGAGAGGACAAGGCAGAGGGTGGAGGGTGGAAGAGGCTGTAGAAGTTGCCAAAGGAGCAAGATTTAGATTCTGCTGTGAAGTTTGATGTCCATGTGACCATGACTTGGTAAGGACTTTTCAAGATGTTAAACTGCTGGACTGTACATTGACCAAGCTAATTTGGGAGCTTTATGTATAATTATACTGTATGAGAGGAACTTTTGCCTCTTGAGATACTTTAATAAGTACCTGAAACATGATGTTAATAAAATACTATAATTGCATAACATGGGGCTAAAATTTATGTTGTGCATTAATTTGAAAATAAAAGTAGATTTCAAATTCTGCATTCTTATGGCTTATATCATATAAATCCATTAGTTCAAATATGTTAGCTAAAAGAATGAGGACTTGCAGTACTCAAACAATTGTTGGCAAAGAAACTATAATTAACTCTCTCTTTAGAGAGAAACAGGAGACACTATAGAACACTGCCATGAAAGTGGAGCTGTGTTAAACCCTTACACAGTAAACGATCAGTAGAGTCCTAAAGAAGGACTCCAAGGTGAAAGTTTCAGAAGCAGCATCATAAGGAAATAAATGGATGACAGCAACTTTGATTTCCAACCTGATGTGTTCTCTGCCAGTCAAATCCAAAATGGAACTGAAAGGTATGGAATAGTGCACGGAGGCAAAGCTCAGTGGTCAAGAAGAGCTGCTCTCTGGATCACTCCTGGAAGAGAAAACAGGCTCAAGCCTGCGGGAGGGTGCTTCTTTCATCCAAGGCTTTTTCAGAAATATTTTAAAATAACCTCTTCAATTTATGCTCGGTTGTGGGTTTATGTACTGGCTGGTTTGTTGAAATATTAATCTTGTATTTTCATTAAGCACAATGCATACCATGTGGGTTTGATTAAGAAGCAAGAATAAAAATACAATGAAAATTGAATTCTATCTTTAAAATATTTCATTACTCAAATTGTATGTTCTTGGCTTAATGGTGAGCATTCAGTTCTGGATTGGTTCACATATTGTTTAAATTTTGGTGTTAAATATAATTGGGATCAAGGAAACAAAATGGGAAGATGTAAAAGCAACTTTTAGCAGTTGGATGTAAATGAAGGAAGGGCATGTGGGCAGTGTAGCTTAGAGCTTAGGTTCACAGCATTTAGTGCTGAAACACTTCCTTCAGCATTATATGGACCTCTTGCTATGTACAGTAAGCAGCATGAAGGCTAGTGAAAGCATGGAAAGCTTGTTTTGCAGGCCCATGTTGATTTTGGTCTCGGTATTTTGAAGTCTTTGTGTTCAAATCATGTTAAATTGGGATCTTATTTATAGGGTAATGTTAAAATGATGAGTTTTATATAACCACATTTGCTCTCTGCCTGAAAGGAGGCTGTAGTGAGGTGGGGTCAGTCTCTTCTCCCAAGTAACAAGTGATAGGACAAGAGGAAATGGCCTCAAGTTGTGCTAAGGGAGATTTAGATTGGATATGAGGAAAAAATTCTTCACTTGAAAGGTTGTCAGGCATTGGAACAAGCTGTCCAGGGAAGTGGTTGAGTTGCCAAGACATGTAAATGTGGTGCTTAGGGACATGGTTGTGATGGACTTGGCGGTGCTGAGTTAACAGTTGGACATGGTGATCTTAAAGGTCTTTTTTAACATAAACGATTCTATGATTCTATTAAGCTCACTAAGACAGATATACTGGTGACAGTCACTGTTTCAGTGTAGAAGACAATAAGTGGAAGTATTGCTAGCTATGTAAAACTTCCAATGAAATGTTGTCAGTTGCATTCAAAGTTATTGAATGTGAAAAGAAACCTAATAAAACACTTTGAACTACAAATGGATTTTATAGTTTCCAGACTGAAATTATTTCCCTGTACTAAGAATAAAAAACATCCAACTTGCCATTGGATCATGTTTTGCCAAATTGATGCTATTTATTCTGCTACATAAACTGTTATTTTGGGGTGGAAAAAAGTTGAATGATATATGATTATCTAAATATATACGTATAAACACACATATATGGATGTAAAAACTATAGCTTTATATTTTGACGTTTATGAATTTTTTTCAAGTGCATGGTATACAGAAGGGATTTTTTTGAACATAGATTTTGTATAGCCAAAAAGTAATTCACTGCAGATGCTAATATGTCTGCTTTTTTTTGAGGTAAGATTTAATTACACCACAGAGTGGTTGCATGCGGGGGGGGAGGAATACCTGTGTGCAGCTTTGGGCAAAGAATGTCAGCCCTGCCAGCTTGGGGAATTCCTTTTGAGCAATGAGCGTTGCAGCAAAATATCCGTCTTGTCCAAGGCACTGTATTCTCTCGAGGAAAAGGGACAAAGAATTAAAGGATGTGTTCACAAGCGTAGGGAAACTTTTCATGACTCATGCTGTATAGACAAAGTAAAATATTTGGGAGCTAAGTAAGGTTAGTACTGTGAACCGCTGAAAAAGTGGGGAAATCCAAAAGTGGATTTGCCATTCTACTTGGGGAGGTTGGTTTTTTTTTAATTATGCAAATATTTTGATCAAATAGGGAGTAAAAGTTATATATAGAAGAACAAACACATGAAGGATGTGCTGTGGAGAAAGGCATGCAGCTAAAATTTTTTGAGTGCTTTGAGTATCAGAGTTTGGGAGATGCAGTTAGGCTGTGATGCATCCAACAGAACTGGTTTTGGAGAGAGTATTTGTGTATCTATTTGGCCCAATCTAGGAGTTTTTCTAAGGGTAAGGACTATACCACTGTTGCACAAGTATCCTCAATGACAGAACTGGGGGACAACAGGCAATGAGTAGGGGCTCTGAGCAGCTTTGGATATAATTGCTAGATATAAAGTAAAGGATGATAGGGTCTTGTTCAACCAAAACAAGTGGGTGAGAAGCTGGGATGGCATGAAGGCAGGGAGAAAGCATGATGGTTGGGGATCTGGCATGCAGAGAGGTGATGCAAAGCCTCTGAGAACAGAGGATTATGTGAGGAAGTTTGTGTCTTATGTGGCTGTTTGAACCATCAATTGCCAAGCAAGGCTATGAAGATGCCACGTATTTGTGGGGACCAGATCTTAATAAAGAGGGTGAGGAGCTGAAGGCATTTCTTAACAAAGACACAGTTACTGTACATGATGATGGAAAGCACAAAATGCATCCCAGCCAGAGGTGCTGAGGAGTTCTTAGTGATAAAACTGTCAAAACTGGAGTCTGGTGGTTTAGGTGGTAACAGGAACAAAGTGCTGATACATTCAAACAGAAAAGCAGCTTTGGCTTTAATCCCTGAGTGTGAAAAGTTTCATGCCTATTCATGAACAAACATTATCTTTAACTTGGTGTAACACGTTCTTCGTGCTCACCTAAATGAACTGGAAAATACTACTTCTTAAATTGACAAGTACATGATGTGCAGTTTGAATATAACCAGAGAGAGATTTACTGTTGCAAATGTACTCTCTATAGTATGTAACAAGAGTGCTGTGAAGCAAAATTTGGACCTAAACTGCATGCTTACCTGTTCTCTCTCAGACAACAAAACCTATGTTTTTGTGGGGACACAGCATAGACAGTGAGCTGGACTGCAGCTCTGGAGCAGGTCTTTCAGGTGACAAATAAGGCTGCCAGCAGTAGGATGCACTGGTAGTGTATTGCTTGCCCACAAGACTTCAGATGGAGGTGTTTTTGGACTTGTTGGGATTTCTTTCTAAGCCATTGAACCATCCCCATTTATGACCATCTCCATAGTATTATAGAGGAATACTTGAAGAGTGAGGAAAGTCATCTAGGGGGTCACAAACCTAAGAAGGGCTGGAGACAGTTTATATTGGCTTGAAATGAAGAAACAACTTATTGCACAAGTTGAAAACAGGAGTGACTTTCTATGCTTGATCTGTATCCAAGCCTTCTGCTGAAGATGTGGACAGTCCATTGTGTATTGACAGTCATGCATAGTCTTAAGCGTTTTTGTAGGCTCATCATTAACATGATCCAGCCTTCTCCTGACAGGACTTGTTTGATATTTTTATTACTACTTTGGACTGAAGAGCCGGACCTATTCATGCAGTGGGCCTCCCTTTTAAAGGCACTGGTCCTCTGGCCTTGCACTGATGTGCAATGTGCCTACGGGAGCTACCTGTCATGTTTTGGAGCTGGTGACTGGGCAATGTCAATGTCTAGGAAAAAGACATCTTTGAAGGCATTTGAATCTGCATGAGAAACTGCAAAACCAGCAATAGGCATCTTGTTAAATGCATATATTACATTGTAGCCTATTTAAAGTTTTTAAAGTTCTTACTTTTCAGCAGTCATTGTCCCCATTCAAAAGTGCAGAGGTTTTAAACATGTTCCACTTTAATGTGAACACCAAAGACAAAAAAGAGAGCAGGCACCACAGGGGTTAAGGTGGTTACTAGCTAAAAAAGAAAGGAATAGTAAAGGTAGCAGCCAAATGCAAAATGACTGGTTTTGGCCTGCAGTCCTTTGGCAGGGAAAAATTTAAAAGGTGGATGAGAAAGGCTCCCTGCTAAATAGTTGCAGTAACGAGACAGTCCTGTGCATGCCCATGGGCAATATCTGCACCAATAATCCTATCAGTTTGTGAATTTCTGTCATGCTGTCCCTAATGAATAAATCCCTTGATGTGCCAGAGACATTTATTGCTGATACATCTCACAATTTCCTTAACATTGCTTCTCAGAATTATTCTATGGGAGAACAAAACTAAAATCTGTCTTTTCACTTCAGCACTTTCAAAACAAAAAGTAGTTTGTAGTGTATCGCAAGTGTTCGGTTATTCAAAATCAATCCTTCCTATGTTTATTTAATTCCTTATTCTTGCATTTGAATCAGTACAATTCTGCCAGGAAGACACATATTGAGGAGTTATCTCATAAAGGAAAGAGTCAAGCTTGTCTGTCTTTTTCAAGGAGATACCAGACTGCAAATAGATTATGAAACATTACTTAAGTCATTACTAACCACAGCCTCACAAAAGAGGAACAATAAAATCTCAGATTCTCTATGTGGATTTGAACTGCGCAATCAGAAAAGTTTCTTAATGGTGGAGTTGCATAGAAGACAAAAGAAAACCCAGCATATATGAGGTTGCTAGAAAACAGAATGATTAGTTAGAAGGGTTTTGCTGACATTATATACATTCATATTGATAGTTACAGGAATCCTTCTCCCCCCCTCCCTCACGTTTTCTCTAAGTATTTAACAGTATCTGAAAACCTAAGCTGGATAGAAATCTGCACCTGAGTTTCTAGATTTAAAAATGAAACCTCAACCCCATAATTTCAATTCTTTCATAGAAGGTTTTGTTCACATTTGACAGCTGCTAAACAAAACAAAAGAAAAAAACCACTTTTTGTATTCCAAAGTAAATGATTCTTCACCTTTAAATATGGAGTCCCTTAGCTTTAGTTATTTGTAGTATGAGCATTATTCATCTGAGCTCATGCACTAGAATATTTATAACTCAGAGCAGGAGAAGTGAAAGACATCAGATCTAGAGAAATATTTCCTTCCTCCATGCTGGGAGGAATCCGGCTGCTGCTGTTCATTAGTGAAGGTTGTGCAGCAATGTTCTGCAATAAGTGACGCTGTGGCAGCTTGATGGTTGGTTTTGTATGAGGTATTAAGGGCCACCCTGGAAAACCAGCCTCTGTTTAAAAATGCCAGTCAAACAGTCGACGAAAGTGATCCCAGCAACAGAAACAAACTGCTTTTTAAATCACTTCTGCTTCCAGTGCAGCTCAAAACAGAAAACAATATTCACTGTGAATGAACGACCTTACTGTATCATGGCCCTTACTCACGTGTCCAAACACTGCACGCACCTTTGAAAATTCATTCTGCCCCAGTTCTGTCGATGTGCAGCATCCCATTTGGAGCTGATGGTCGTCCTAATGGGAGAAGGGTAGAAACAACAGCAAA